CTGCTGTATCCACCTGAAAGTACATGAAATCTAAGCAAGAGATGCCTGGATGGTACCAATGCTGAAAGGACAGTTAAGAGAAGCCATTAAGAGATACAGCAGTTTGTGCAGTGGGTTGTGCCGAGGGGCACCCAGACAGGGCTCACAAATTGTGCCAAGGGCAGAGCAAACTCTCTTAGCAGTGGTGGTGACATGCCACCATCTGGAGCAACTGTCCTTGGCACAGCAGAAGCCTCAGCTCAGACCAAGCTTCTAACAGAGGCTGCAGCTAATCATGTCCAGGACTGCAGGCAGTGTTTGGAGCCTCTCACTGAGCCTGGGGCTAGCCTGGGAAACTGTCTCCTTGCCTGTAGGAGATGTGCCTTGGTGGATGACCTGCACTACCAAGGAGGTCAGCAAACTGTTTAGTATCAGAGATGATGAGAAAGGGACCAACTGGATTTTTCTCTGAGACCCTGCAGATACAAGAGGAGCCTCAACTCCCAACAGTATCGAAGGAAGGCAGGCAGAGCCTGTGCCTCTCTGCTTGGGAAAGGGAGACAGACTCCCACGATGGTGAAGGTTGGAAGCTTGTGACTACCAGTAACAGGAGCAAGGCTTCTGTTCCCCCTGTAGATCTGCAGCTACAGAGTAGACTCGATGCCCAGATATGACACAGGGGTTGGAACTCTGTCCATCAAAGCATCCATACCCATGGAGCCTGAGCCATGCAGCAGCACTGCAGAGATCAGTGAGTGATAGTAGTAGGTGACTCCCTGCTGCAGAGGACAGAGGACCCCATCTGCCAACCTGTCTTGCTACCTGGGGACATTTACTGCATGCTCAGAGCTCGGATCCAGGGCACTGTGGAAAGACTTCTGAGGTTTGTCCAGTCTTCAGATTATTACCACCTTACACTCTTCCTCAGGGTCACCAATGATACCCAAAGGTGGGTATGCTGCCATTCAAAGGGACCTGGACAGGCTGGAAAATTGAGCTGAGAGGAACCTCATGAAGTTCAACAGAGGGAGGAATAACCCAGTCCATGCTATAGACCAACTACCTGGAAAGTAGTTGCAGGAAAGAACCCAGGAGTCCTGGTGGACAGGAAGCTGACCATGAACCAGTAATGTGCCCCTGCAGCAAAGGTGGCCACCAGCATCCTGGGCTGCATTAGGAGGAGTATTGCCAGCAGGTTAATGACAGCACTCTGCTCAGCACTGGTGAGGCCACATCTGGCATGCTGGGTCCAGTCCTGGGATTGTTCAGCCTCAAGAAGAGACAGCTCAGGGAGGATCTTTTCAATATCTATAAACATCTGATGGTAGCAGGTAAAGAAGATCGAGCCAGACTCTTCTCAGGGGTGTCCAATGTCAGGACAAGAGGTAATGGGAACAACTTAAATTACAGGACAGTCCATTGACACACAAGTACAACCTTTTTTACAGTGAGGGTGGTTGAATATCGGAACAGGTTACCCAGAAAGGCTGTGGAGTCTCCATTCTTGGACATTTTCAAAACCTAGCAGTGTGTGGTCCTGGGCAACCTGCTCTACCTGATCCTGCTTTAAACATGGGGTTGGACTAGATGATCTCCAGAACAACTAATCTGTGATTCTGTGACACTCAAGCCAAGCAGTCTGCAAAGACAAGAACTTGCAAATGCAGGCTCAGCTTCTACAGGTAACTAATGTCCTTCACAATTTAAATCTCTGTGTGTCCCACGCTGAGCTAGAGGGGTACAACACGCCATAGCAGTTTGGAGACTTATTGTTAATGTTGCTCACTGATTTCCATCATAAATACTTACATTTGTCCCCTTATCATTTTGCCAAAACTTATCTGACTTACAATTTCTCTTTGCCTCAGGCTGAGTGTTTTTGGAAAGATTAACGGAAATCAGTTGAGCCATTGTTGAGAACGAGGGCGAGGGAATTGGGTCAGTCTATTCACATTAAAAAACTCCAACTGTTCTTTCATAGGACTTCAGTGCCTCCAGCCATGAGGTCAGCAGAGGTGTCCTTTACTGGGGCCACAAACATCTATAAAGCTTTAGAAAAAGATGAAATCTGCTTATAGCAACCTCAACACATGTTTAACAATGCTTGTTATGAGCCCAGCAGTTGAAAATCTTTGCAGTTTATTCCTATGCTGACCAGCTCTGATCAGAGCTCTGATCTGCAGATCACACTGACAAGCTACACTAGGACAAGATCACAGCTGGACACCCAACCAGGCCATGGGAGAGCAGGAACAAGTGCCCTTGTTGATGGTCCATGCTGCATTTGGCACTGACAAGTGGAAGTGGGCTCAGGGCTGAGTGATCAAGACTGAGGGCAAACAAGCATGTTTATGCTCTTGGGTTAGCAAGCATTTTCTCAAAGGACAAGAGCAAAGCAATCAGAGACTCCTGAGCTTGGAAGACAACTTGTCATCAGAAGAAAAATTCTCTGAGCTGACCAGGCTGTTGCAAATGCAACACTCGGAGCTGCTGGATGACAGTTTAAACAAAGGTCTTGAATGCACATCTGCCCATCTGCCCCACACAAATGTCTTACCAAAGGGAGGAAGGGTGCCAGCTGAATTCAGGCACTGGAAATGTCCACTGTGGTACTGCTGGCTTTTTAGTACCACCCTTACAACTCTTATCTTTTCTTTCCTTTTTTTTTTTTTTTTAGGTTTTTTTTAGGTTTTTTTTTAGGTTTTTTTTGTTCCAATGAAAGTTTCTAAACAGCTACAATAAAATTCACTCTGTCTGACAATAAGCAAGGGCAATACTTTGAGGGGATGTGTCTCCCCAGCACCCACAAATTCAAATCAGAGCTGAGAGTACTTTTGTACTCTGGAAGCCACCACACCCTGGGATTTCCATTCAGAGTTGTCCCCCAGAGATCTGTTGTTTCCCATGCAGAAATCCCCTCCCTGGGAAGTGTTCAGCTCTCAACTGGGTGGACTGGTACAATGCATTACTAAACCTCTGCTCCAAAGATGACTAAAAGAAGATGACTACTTTAAAAGTAGTAAGCTTTTAAAGGCCTCTGAACCTGCTGGGTTTTCCCATGGAGAACGGATTTCTAGTGGCCAGAGAAAATAATGTGTACAAAGGTTTTAAGATGGTTCTTGTTTTAACATTCTTGACGCTAAAAGCAACAAAAAGGGTTAAATGAAAAGGTGGAAGTGGGACTATTTGCAATTAGTCCTAAAATATGAGGAACAACTGTAACCAACTTTCAAAATACACATCACCTTCTGACATTTCATGTGAACAGGGACCAGGCAACTCTCTGCCAGTAAATCATCTCATCGTGTCTATTCAAATATTTTACATTTGTAGGGAATCTCAGAATGATGGGTTCCTAGTAAAAGTTCTTTCTAGTCCTGGATAATTCCAAGCACAAGGGTCAAACAAAAAAGAAAGATTTCTCATTTTGGTATTTGCCACCAAGTGACAAAGAAATCCAAAGGCAGTGCATGCCCCATGCATGTCCTCTTAGGCACCTGAGCTGTTTCAGCTTTATCTATAACACACTTTAAGACAATTTGCTGACCCACAATTAAAGCTCAGACAACAGAAAAGTGTGGCTATGTCCCATCAGAGAGGCTGGTAATGAGCTTCACAAGGCTGGCAAAATTATTTGACCTCGTCAGGTAGCAGTTGCCATGGCTTTGTTATTGAATAACTTCTGTTAGCACTTGAACTCTAAACTATCATCACAGTTCCTTCTTTATTCATATCACATGGGCCATCATCTCCCATCCCAGAAGAACTTAGACCCCAGAAAGCTGGGGAAGGACTTTTCATAGGGGCAATTAATGACAAAACAAGGGGAAATGGGTTTAAGCTGAAAGAGGGGAGGTTTACACGAGATATTAGGAAGAAGTTCTTCACTGTGAGGGTGGTCAGACACTGGAACAGGTTGCCCAAGGAAGTTGTGGATGCCCCCTCCCTGGAAGTGTTGAAGGCCAGGCTGGATGAGGCTTTGAGCAACCTGGTCTAGTGGAAGGTGTCCCTGCTGATGGCAGGGGGGTTGGAACTGGATGATCTTTAAGGTCCCTCCCAATCCAAACCATTCTATGATTCTATGATTCTATTCAATAGGCTGGTCTCTGGCTAAAGCCATGGCAAGACCATGCAGGAATAAAACAAAAAGTCTGAGGGGCAAAATACTGCACTGGTCACAGCAGGACACTGAGAACCACCGGGCCTCCTAACAGCAACAGTCAGAAGTATTTTGTACTCCTGGAAAGGTTGTAAAGTGGGTAAAACATTGCAAATTGTGTGCAAGCAGTCAAATTGATTTAAAGACATAACCCTCATGATCATATATCCTGACTAGTTTAACTTTCAGGAAACAAACGAATTAGCAAATGTAATTCTCAGGGAAGCTTAAGAAAAGCAGTTTTTAAAGCCTGCGCACTCAAGCATGCTTGTTGGAATCTCCTGTGAGGTTTCAAAACATCTATAGCAGCTATCTCATATAGTTGTCCAAACACAATTATGCATAAATTTGCATTTCAGATGCTGAATACTAAAGTGCATCCAGAATGATTCAAGTTACTTTTTTTTTTTTTTCCTCAAAATGCCATGAGAATTTTTCATTAAAGACACCCTTGAAGGAAACCCTAATCACCCCGGAGACATTCCCTCAAGATGAACGGACTGTTGTCACAAATTGTTTTCTCAGTTAAGGTTATTTTCACTTGATACAGCAAAATACCCAGCTAGTCGTACAAAATTTGGTCTTACTTTATCCTTTTATAGTATTTATTATCCTCAGTTTGGAGACTTACCCTTCACTGAAGTTGTAAAAGAGAAAAGCTGCTTGCAAAAATTATACTGGGTACAGCATTAAGATGCAAGTGCTTCAGCCCAGGCTCTGGTCTCACTGAAATCATCCAGAACAAAGGGCTTTGAAATGCTACATGCCAGTTATTTTTGATGGCCACCAGTCTAGTGCAATTTCTCTTCCTCTTAATGGGATGTCTCCTATTTCTGGACCAAACAATCACTTTCCGCTACATAGACACAATGAATTATTCACAAATTCAAATTAGGCATGACATTTCCAAATTGCCTTCCTTTAGCAGATAGTCACTTAAAAACAATAAGACTTGCTTCCTCTGTGTTTTATTTATTCTGTTCTGAGATCTGTGGTTCCTGTTATGTAAACTCTCCTCCTCTGAGTGCTGGCAGTAAAGATCCCCAATCCCAGAGATTTACGTGTATTAACAGCTCTCACAGGAGCTGCTCTAAGAAGGAAAAATTAAAGAATGATTTCTCTCCCAAACTGAGTGTGAGACCCAGCTGCCGAGTCAGGACAGCAGCATCTCCTACAGAAAGAGCAACAGTGGGGCCAAGCATCCCCTGGCTGTGATGTGGTACCCAAGGCACGGGAAGGTCTCATTGTGGGGATGCTGGGCAGTGCTGTGGGTCATGCAAACCATCTAACCCAGCTCTGCAGGGACCCACATGCAACATTTGCTTGCAAGCACAGAAGAACTGCCCACTGGTGGTATCTCAGACTCTTCATATTTGTCTCTTCAGCATACACCATTGATACTGCTCCTCACCTGCCCTTCCTTCAGTAGTCACAGAATCATAGAATCGTTTAGGTTGGAAAAAGACCATCGAGTCCAACCATAAACCCCACACTGCTGAGTCCACCACTAAACCATGTCCCTGAGCACCACATCTACAGATCTTTTAAATACTTGCAGGGATGGTACCACCACTTCCCTGGGCAGCCTGTTCCAATGCTTGACAACCCTTTCACTGTCAAGTCCTCATGTGGTGTGTCTGAATCACACGGTAGGTACTGAGGCCGTTGGGACCAATCTCTGTAGTATTAGAGGTGCCCTTTTTGTGGCAGGGTTCTGGGGAAAAATTTGCACCCTCTGTTATTGCCTGATTTCTGTGGTTTATTTTGTCTGGGGTTTATTTAAGCCCCACACATCTGCTCGTTCCCCCTCCCGTATTAAATAGCTTATTCTTCTCCACATTAAATCTAATTGCTACACATTGTTCCAGTTACAATTATATCATGTTCGGTGCTCCAGGATTGAAACATTAAATCACTTCTGTTTACCTGTCTCGGGAAACAGAATTTTCAATTCCACTGCCTTATGCTAGAAAATAAAGGAAATCTGTTTATAATAATTGACTACATAAATATCAGCCTATTTTAAAATGGATTGTACATACTGGGCCGCCACCAAGTGTATATGATGTATCTCTCTCTTTAATCAAGACAACAAGCAGCAGCAGTGAATGCAATGCAGAAATGTCTGCGCTAGCACGGACCCAAGCTGCTGGGCTCAGTGTAGAGCACAACACAGCTGGGATTAACAACCACCCCAGTCCAGTCCCTGCAGAGCTGCAGCTCCTTCAGATCCCAGAGCCGACCCCAGCACCGCTCTGTGCACACTGCAGATCAGTCTTTTCAAGATCTTTCTTCAAAGCTGCCCTCAGGAGAGGGTTAGGATTGTCATTCAGTCTCAAGACAGGTCCTCCCTGCTCACCTCTCAGCTCTTTCTACTAATGGGGTCATATAAAGTAGTGGCAGTTCCTCTACGTGCCATGGTTCCCATCAAAAAGCATTTTTGAGAGATGAGCATTTTGGTGAAATGGGATGACGATCTCTCATCCAGGAAATGATGGAACAAGGAATGCCCAGAGGCTGATCTGTTTATTTGCTGCCTCAAACCATGAAATCATCCAGGGAACAACTTCGTGTTGCTGATGCAGCAAAGGCACCAAGGTAGCACTGAAGTCACCAGCTTTGTGCTGCAAGCTCCAGGCAGCGTTCCTCTGCTAGACTCAGGCCTTTCCAAGGCACATACAGCACTTGGCGGCAGTAGAATCATAGAATCATAGAATCATAGATTGGTTTGGGTTGGAAGGGACCTTCAAGATCATCTAGTTACACCCCCCTGCCCTCAGCCGAGACACCTTCCACTAGACCAGGTCGCTCAAAGCCTCATCCAGCCTGGCCTTCAACACTTCCAGGGAGGAGCAGCCACAACTTCCTTGGGCAACCTGTTCCAGTGTCTGACCACCCTCACAGTGAAGAACTTCTTCCTAATATCTCATCTAAACCTCCCCTCTTTCAGCTTAAACCCATTTCCCCTTGTTCTGTCATTAACTGCCCTTATGAAAAGTCCCTCCCCAGGTTTCTTGTAGCCCCTTCAGGTACTGGGAGGCCGCTATAAGATCTCCCCGGAGCCTTCTCTTCTCCAGGCTGAACAGCCCCAACTCTCTCAGCCTGTCCTCATAGGAGAGGTGCTCCAGCCCTCAGATGCTATGGCAAAGAGTCTTTTGGGATGACAAGTTGAAGGCAAAGTCTTGCTACAGGGCACCAGGGCTGGCTAGGTACGGTCTTCACACACTTGCAGTGCAGTCTGATCTGTGCTGGTTTATCTCCTAATGGTCCATCAGTGGCCTTTTATATTTTGTTCTACTAACTGCCTGAGAGTGGATTCTGTACGTGACCTGCCCTACCGTGGATGCAGCCTCAAAGTACAGCCCGCTTGGACATCTGACTGGACCCAGAAATGTGCAATCCTCCCTGGTCTGTCCGAGCTCCTCACTGTTCTCCATAAGCACTGACCACAGCCACCACCCAGAGGGACAGAGACATCACCTCCTTGAGTAGTCTAGTTTCTCACCAGGGTGGAGAGGCCACTGTGGGTGGAGCAATCAAGGACAGTATCTCCATAGGGAAGGTCTGATCCTGATGCTCCTCTATTAGCGAATGACTCGTATCCAGCAAGCGGAGTTGTGTCTCTTCCAAAACTCTGGAGTTTTTAGACTTTTTCTCTTGTAGCTCTGGACATTTTGTATCCTCACACATGACCAATCTTTCCTTTGATTTCAGCTCAGCTGGTGCTTTTAATGACGCTTTGTTACAAGTTCCCCCCCCCCCCCAGTACCTGGGCATTTTGTGAAAAGCTGTGATTTTTTGGCTTACCTTTAAATAGGCCACATGTCAACTTCTGAGTGACCTATTGTTGCTGTGCTACAATATTAGCTGGACAGAAGTGCCTGGTCTCTGTTCCCAAAAAGCAGTCCTTGCTATCTGGATCTTTAACCTCTCCCAGTGCCTGTGCTTACGGTTTGTGGACAATGTGTCATCTGTGAGCCCTTCCCCACGGAGTCCAGTTGGTTTTGCAGCCAGTGGTGCTGAAAACCGTGTGTGACCCCTTTTATTTCCTGACCATCTTATCCACTCATCAAGATTTTACAGCGCTGCAGTCGCAAGCAACCAGAGCTCCTACCTTCAGCCCCAGATCCAGCTCCTTGAGAGAGCGCTTGATTTCACTGGTGAGGATGTTCATGCGCTCACATTCCTGAAAGGCAACCACAACGTACGGTGTCCTCTCCTCCACCTTTGCCATCAGTTCTGCAATGTTAAACTCATCCATCAATTTCTCTAACATCTCTTCCAGAAGAGCTTTCACCTGTGTGCCGAAGGGAAAAGAGGGATGTTAGTGAATGACCCTTGAAGCTTCCGCAGCTGACAGCTGCCTGGACGCAGCATGAAAACTCCACCTGCCAGTCAGTGCCTCCCAAACAATCAGTGTCAGCTGTGCTGGGCACGGCACCTTTCAAAGAGCTTGCCCCATCCTATTAAAATTCAAATGCTTACAAAAGTTAATGTCAGATGAAAAGCTTTCAAAATGATGGTTTAAAAATGTCACTGTGACATGTAGCAGTCTCCTTGCTTCTTGGGTCTCCACAGCCTGTATTCTTCTCCTAAGGTCAGATTCAATGCAAGAAGACAGATGGGGCTACAGCCTTAGCTGAGCCTCAGGACAACTGAGCTTATGAGCTGGTTTTCTCTGGTATATTGACAGAGAGAAATGATTATATAAGGTCTAATTTTAAGCTGAGTTGAGCATTCTGAACTAATGGAAGAAAAGCATAATGAAACAAAATTATCTTCTGGTCACCATCACAGTTTGATTTGGAAACAGTGCTTTAGATCTTTAAATACCAACTAGGGAAAGCTCCAATGCAACAGGATGTTTCTAGTGACTAAAAAATAAACCAGATAAAAACCTTTCTGGCTGACAATGAGGCATGAAGCCCCTAATCTTCATGGGATGAGTTGTATCTCTCAGGTTTATGTGGACCATTAGGCAGCTTGGTATGGAAGTCTCTCACACAATGCTTCACTTCTGTGCTGGAACCTGAGCAAGACTTCTGGTTCTTGGGGATTTTTCAGAACACGTAGCACAGTTACAATTCTACCATCTAATGTGCAAAGCCTGGCGTGCGGGTGCCAGTGACAGCTGCCAGCCAGTGGCAGAGGCACCCCAGGGTCATTTTATTGCCATGCCCACCAACATTCCTATTTTGGACACTGTACTCTAATTTCCTCTGATTACTGCTCTTGCAAACCCTCCACACTCGCGTCAGACGTTACAAAGAAGTGATGATGTGTAGGCTGTTACTGCAACCAGCTAGGTAGCTAAAGCTACAGCTTGGCTGGAAAAGCTCTTCAGCTGCACCTCAGGTGCACTAGAGAAATATCCTCTCATTTGAAATTCCCTTGCAAATCCCTTTGGCTCTGATTTTCTCACAACAATTACAGCTCATTTTCTGTAATGTGGCCTCAGAAACCTGTGGGAGTATCTGGACTTGTCAGAACCTCCAGAAAATGACAGGCTCACAGTTTCCCTGCAAGGTCCCTAAAACCACCTCAGCCAAACCAGGGGCTGGAAGTCCTCAAATGGAGGAGCTGAGACAACACTTAACTCATTCTTGTTCAAGGACCAAGTGAAAGGGACACAGTTAGTGCTGGTTATAGCTCAGGTAATGAGAGATCACCTCCAGATGAAAATGAGCTGTGGGAGCATCCCTCAGGCACAGTGCAGTGCCACACTCAGGTTGCTTTCAGGCAGCTTCTTTTCTCAGAGAGATCGAGAAAGCCATGAGGACTTCTGTGCTCCTCTGACAGTCTTCTGGACTGCCACCTGGAGTTTGAAGGGTAGCCATGCCCTGTGATACCACTGCTAGATCACTCAATGAGAACTGTGCTTCTCCAGCCAAGGAATTTAATTGGTTTTTGATAACAAAAGCACTGGGAGGGGAGAAGAGGCAGCCACATTTGCTATCTCTGAGCAACTCCTTTGGCTTTGCTACCTCTGGATTATTCTCCTCACCTCAAATTCCAGTATGAACTAAAACTGAACATGCTGAGCACTTCTCAGAGCCCCTTAGGTGAAGGCAGCAAGTTCCCCAGCTCCACACCAAGCCAAAGGAAGCACGTGTGAAACCACAGACTTCACATAAGCTTTCTATTAACCACTCATTAATTCATGAAGCTTGAAACACAGAGCTGGGACCTTAAGACTGAAGAAATAAAAACCTGATCAAGTGTTGGCTGGTTTCAGATCCTGATATGAATGTTTGGGCCAGGTTTTAATCAGCTGTGAGTTTTGAGAGGAAGGGCTGAGATCAGCCTGGTACACAGGCATAGCAAAGGAGTTCAGCTGGAAACAAGGAATTACAAGGCCCCTGGGAGCTTGGGAGCTGGGTGGGACCTGCTGGCAGCAGTAAGAGGTGGGCTGAGCTCTGGGTGGCACATTGTACCTGGCAGATGGTATGCTCAGGGAGCCCATTGGTATGCCAGTCACAGCCTGGTGCACAGGGACCGGTGCTCACAGACAGTGGAGGACACAGAAGGTTTATTTGCAACGCCTTCACAAGATGATAATGAAGACACTGCAGTTCAGGGGGTAATTAAAAGCCACTGTCCTATTACTGACAATACTCCAATTACATCCCACCACAGTGATGTTCTGCATAATATGAGGCTCATGGTTTTAGACACTCGGTTTGTATCCAGCAAAGGCAGCACACATTGTTATGAGCATTTGTGAGACAAACCTGAGCTAGACAGGACTACTTATGAATGAGACAGGTATCAAAATTCAACAAATTCAACAGCTCTACCACTCTCACCGTCTCCTCCCTGGTCACCACTCCTCCTTCGCCCATGCTGGTGTCCCGGGGCTGCATCTCCAACACGATGCGGAAGAGCTTCTCTGAGGTCTGGGTAAGGAAACCAATCTCAGCATTGGGATGGAGGCCGTAGAGGTAAGGAGACTCTGGAGGCAAGGCATCGTCTATGTACTGTACAGAGAAATTCAGGTTCAGGTTAGATGTGGAGTCCAGGGAACTTTGCCTGGCACTGGAATTATCACCCATCAGACTAAGTAAGCCCAGGCTGACAGAACTCTGCTTGTGGCTGAAACACTCATGAACTGATGGGAGAGAGGAGCACACGATTGTTTACAGAACCGCTTCCATTCCTGTTTCCTGCTGTGAAAATTTAGCAATTGCTAAAGTTTGTCTTGGCTACATATCTCAGGCCTGGACCTTCTCTAGTAATTATCCACTGTGCATTTCATCTTCAATATCCTGAAATCTCTTGTGGGAATTTAGCTTCCAGTAATTAAGTTTTATAAACAAAACCAGCCTAATATGCCTATCTCTGCTCCCACATCTGTGTACAAAGAACAGATCAGATCAGTAAGTAGATCAACAGGACCTTCAGTGTTTCTCATCGAAACTGATGATAAAAGGAGCTTGAAAAGGCCATTTTAGCAAATGTAATGTGAATGTAATTTTCCAGGAGCTCCACTCAATTCTCAAGAACTAATACAGTTGTTCTATTCATGCATGAACAGAATGAGCTCATGATGAAGTAGCAAATTAACATTAGACTTGGTTCATCCAAGGAAATGCTGAAACATCTACAGAAACAGAACATAATGGGACATAACAGGAGGTGTGCTGAGACACTGAGGTCCTGCTCACGGCCTCCTAAGACAGCTTATTGAAGACATTTATGTCTATAAATAATGAGAAAACAAAGAGCTTACCTGATGATAACCATTATAGTCCATGTTCCCTGGGAGAGGGAATCCTGGAGCAAGGAGGAGTTCTCCCTCTAGCATTTCTGGCTTAATAAATTCTTCCAAATAGGTTTTGCAAAGCCGCCTGTCCCAGTCATCTGTAATGTGACCTCCATACATGATCTCACCAAAGAGATAGCGTAAATCATCATATGGGACCTGAGGAATGAACCAGGAGGCCATGAAAGAGCTCAGACAGCCGGAGCTCCACCAGCCGTGTCACTGAGCCGCAGGCTACAGCGCTCAGAACAGAGCTGCACAGCAAGTGCTTCCACTTCACCATGGCAGGTCTCTAAGTAAACAAACATTGGGTAGGAGTTAAATCCTGCCCAAGGAAAACTGATCACAGCGCAGATTTCATGCGCTTCCCCACTGACATGCAAATTTATTCTAAGCTCTGTTAACGCAAAGACCACTACGTATTTCCAATTAATAAAGACCACAGACACAATTAGCTGTGATTCAGGGACCTTATCGATGCTTATAAATACCTGAAATGTGGGGGCCAAATGGATGGGCCGGGCTTTTTTTGTTGGTGGCTGGTGACAGGACAAGGGGCAATGGGCACAAACTGGGACACCAGAAGTTCCAGACAAACTTAAGGAAAAACTTCTTTCCTGTGAGGGTGCCAGAGCCCTGGGACAGGCTGCCCAGAGAGGGTGTGGAGTCTCCATCTCTGGAGATGTTCAAACCCACCTGGACACTTTTCCTGTGCAACCTGGTGCAGGGAACCTGCTTTGGCATAGGGAACCTGCTTTAGCAGGGGGGTTGGACTGGATGATCTCCTGAGGTCCCTTCCAACCCCACCATGCTGTGATTCTGTGATTCTGTGTGATTTGTAAGCTGCTACAGATGGGAGTGACACTGAAGCTTCCTATCTCACCACAACGGCATACCAAACTGTGAAGTTATAAAACCAAAGACACCAAGGAAATGGCATTTCAGGAGAATTCCCAGGAGTTTCAGCACAAGCCAGTCCATCACTGGTGATGAAAAGCCGCCGAACAGCCCACCTTCCATTCACGCACCTTCGTGCTGGCCTCCAGGTAATTATACAGCACGTTCACAGAGATAGTGAGGTCTCCAGTGTTGAAGGGGTAGGAACGGTTCCAGCCTTGGGGGCCAAACTTGCGCCTTTCTGCCACCACAGCATGGAAATAGCAGAGGGCAAAGAGGATGCTCTTGAACTCATTCTCCTGGGTGCACATCTCCAGGGTATCCTGCAACACAGACGCAGAGGCAAGGCTGTGTAAGTCCACACTGCCCGAAGTCTCAGCCACTCTCAGGGTCTCCCAAAAACAGTGGACTTTGGACAGGGGTGAAGTGATTGTCCCAATCAGTTCACTTCTACTTGATATACATCTCCATGAGACAACAATGTGCCCTCGTGGTCAAGAAGGCCAATGGCATCCTGGGGGGCATGAAGAAGAGTGCAACCAGCAGGTCGAGGGAGGTTCTCCTCCC